CTTTCCCACCGTTCAAATTAAACAAAGGGAAAGCGGAAATAAAAGCAAGCTCATTAAATTGTTATTTTTCTCCCAAATAACGCATAAATATTGTAATGATTTTCTGAGGATGTTTGTATATGGGGTCACTGAGGATTTTTGGAAGGAAACCAAAACAGAGATGGTGCAAGTCAGCATGTGGTTTTAGTGGGAAACTGCCCATTTTATAGCATCCCATAAACTTTGGCTTCAATTCTTCTGAAGGAGCTGAACTGATATAAATGAGAAGAGGCTTCTGGGGACACAACTTGTTTCCAGATTTGACATGCAGTGCGCTTTTCTGTCTGGCAGTTGTGTCGAGGAAATCATCAACCAGAAACACGCGGTCATCACAGCCATCTAGGAAAAAGAGCTGCAGCTTTTCTCATGCTTTTCACAACCACCACCACTCCCTGCTTTCCCCTAACATAAATAAACTGGCAGGGGATGATACTTGGGACAGACCCCCTTCTACCGCTTTTCTAACTCTGCCCCTGTTTCTGGAGTTTCCTCCTGTAGCCACGTCCTGCCCCAGAACAAGGGCTCGCCCCCATTTACAGCGGCACTGAATCTCCTGCAGGCTCACAGTGTCATGAGCACAGCAGCACTACACACCAGACCAGTGACAGCAACCACGTTGTCCTGACAGCTCCTGTGCTCAGAGCCCCATCCCACCCTGGAGAGAGGGCCCCAGCACCTGCCCCTTGCTTCTCCTTCCTGGAAGGGTTGAAGAAGTGTCTCCAAGCACTGAGAGATGGAGCTGTGCTCAAAATGCAACCAACAAAGAGTGAGGAACAATATTGCTGTTGGATCCGGAAAATACACAACCCAGCTAAGGCGAACCAGCCATGGAAGAACATCAGTGGGAGCGCTTGGAGCATCTTCTGAAGAAATTTCTGGATCAAATCTAAGACATGCTCAGCCCTTTCCCCATTCTTCTCAAATCATTTGGATTCCTTCCAGTCATTACTTACCTTCCCTGCTCCTACATATTGCTCTGAAAAAACACGTCTCCCTTGCCTTGGTCTACAAGAAGCAGCCTCTACTCCTCCTTCGCAACTTTGCAAGCAGCCTTTCTCTTCTGCCCTTGTTCAGTCCAAAAAACAGGCCTGTTCCCTCCTCTCCCTTTATAACAGGGAGAGCAGAATACTCCTGGTACTGGACACCAGCACTTGTGCAGACCACACCGTGTGATCCAATGGGTGACTGCTGCAGGACCACAGGAAATTCCCTGCAACGCTCCCCGGGGATCAGAAGGTGCCCCAATCCCAAGGACTAGCCACTGGCACCAGCTGTGCCCGATGCAAATCGGGGCCTCTCATGGCTCCCATCTCAGACACCCTTCAGAGTAAGCGGTGGAGGGAGGTATCAACCCCTCAAATAGCACTGGGACTGCTCTGCGACCTTCCAGAAGACACTGATGGATCTTCAAAGTCTGTGTGTTACGTGAGGCACTGGGGAAATCAAATCAGTGCCTAAAGGAAGGGGCAGAGCTTTGGTAATCTGGTAATGGTGCCAACAGATCCACTTTAAGCTTCCGACAGATTACTGACCTCTTGCAAACACTGTCCTAATGAGAGGGCTGGGCAGAGACAGGCAAAGGAAATGTCTGTAACGTCCTGCAACTCTAGATAGCACAAATTTGCAGTAAGGACAGACACAGCAAGGGCAGTTAGAGGTGGCCAAGCTAATTAACAGCCACCTGCTCACATCCTGGTCTGCCATTCCTTGCTGTGGAGTTTTAGAAGACTGATCTTTGAAAAGCATCAAGTCCCCACTTCATTGACATCAGTATCTCAATGCATGGGATAAAAGAAGTGGAGGCAGAGAGAAAAAACACAAAAGGACTCACCAGAAGAACCACAGTTAGCAGCTCTGAGCCCCTCCAAAGTGACCATTAGCTCTTCCTACCCCCCAGATTGAATTACTGCAAATATTCAGAGTTCCTGCATTATAAATGAAAAGTCACCTCGTGTGTTTTGCTATGAACTCCTACGTATGAAAGAAGCTAGTATATCTACGTGTGCTAAAATAGACACCAAATACCCACAGGCAAAAAACATGGGAAAATAAATAAATAAATAAAAAGAAATCTTTCTTGGCCCTTCCTTAACATAACGCTAAGAACCAACCAAGAAACACAATCCAGTTTGTTTTCCCCTGGTGCAGGCCACCTTTAACAGAGAAGTCACTCCTTGTACAACCCATCCAGTTTTCGTAAGCAGCACATAAGAATATTGGTGACCTCAGAAAGTGTGAGCTGTGACAAGAAATACTGTCAGAAGCCTGCCCCACCACCTCTGAGCCCTTTGGCCAACTGTTAGCTGTGAACACACATGCAGTAACCAATGAGTGAGAAAACACAAGGCTTTGGGCTCCTGAGAAAGCTCCATCAGATGGCCTACACTCAAAAGAGCTGGCATGAGTGCAAGCTTCCAATAAATAAATAAAGAAGCCAAAGGCTGCTCTTCTGAACCCAGTGGATTAATCTGTTTGCCTGCAACGTAACCAGCTCCAAAGTGGGGAGCAAGCCCAGTTTCTGGAGTGCTTCGTCACAAGTGCCAGCTGAGAACAACAACAACCTGCTCCCATTTGTAATGCCCGTTGTAGGTGATTATGGGAAACAAGAAGGACTAAATTCAAAGCAGGTTTTCAACTGGGGGGGATCCAAAAATGCTGACTGAGAAGGAGAACAAAGCCAGATGGCATATGCTGGTATTGTTAGGGATTATGCAGTGTAAGGCAATAGGAAATGAGCAGAGAAAAAGAACCAATTTCATCCCATGGCTCCTCTGCTGCCAAATGAACATACCGGGGCAACCGTGAAACAATCAGTTTATGGGTTTCATTCCCCTCCACCCCCAGACTGAACTTAAATATTTGTATAAGCTGAGGCGTAACTTTTATCTAATGTTTTCCTTGGGGTTTACTAGCTGTTTAGAGCATTCAGTCTAAAAAGCATTCCCTCAAACTCTTGCCACAAAAAGAGCTGAAACTATGATACTAATTAAAACCACACTCTTTGGTATCAAGAAGACATGCTATTATTTTCTTTTTTGCTCATGAGAAGCTGTTAATATGGGCAATGCGTCTGGAACATTTTCCTTCCAAACGCAATGCTCAGTACCCCCTCCTGCTCAGGTCGGCTGGTTTATGAACTTGTCAGCAGTCTGGGGTGGGAAGGCTCAGATGGCGTATTTACAAGAATAGATTTATTTTTTTTTTTTTAATAACAAGCTGTTTGCCAACTTAATGTTATAAAAAGCACATCAAGAAAAAACAAAAGCTTTATGCTGCATGAAAGGTGACAAGCTAAAGAAATGTCCTGCCTTCTTGCCCAGTGGGCGAAATAAAGGGACTGATGTTGCCAAAATATACTATACATTCTGAAAAACAGCCTCGGACTTTGCCAGGATGCTTCTGGACACTCAGCACATACCAGGAAAGAATGTGGGTGGCAATGTGTACCATTAGTGACCCACACTGGGGTAAAATCCATTAAATTAAATGGTAATATTTCATGCTCATTTTAGCCCCATCAAATTTGGATGCCTCTAAGGCCTCCATTACTGTACTACCAGCACCTCATAAATATTAACATATTTATCCTCACAACATTTCTAAGACAAGGGGAAAAATGCCATTATTACATATAAATGATAGAAAACTAAGGTGTAAAAAAAATCAGCGGTTGGGTTTGCGTTCAGTGCAATGTTCAAAAGCATCAGTGTGTATCCCAAGACATCTACACCCAGCCAAAAACCAAATCTCTTGTCCAAGATCAAGCAGCGGTGTCCCAGTCAGAGCAGGTAATTACACCGCAGAGGTGCAGGAGGCAGAGAGCAGTGCCCACTTTGGTCCAGCTCTCCCGGAGCACCACGTATTCCCAAGTCCCCACTGATTTTGAACAGCATCCTGGATGCTCCCGGCGTCACAAGAGCAGATCTTCAGTGAGCTAGGCAGGGCGCCACAGCTAGCGGCTGCATCTGAGAGATCTGGGCTCAGTCTCGAAAGAAGCATCTGTAGTGCTTGTGAGGAAAACAAAAGTGGCAGGAAGGATCCTCTGGGGAAGGCACTTGTCCCACAAGTGTCACTCTTGGGACCACAAAAGTAAATAATGTTTCATCAGAGCAATTGGTTTCTGGTTTCTGTTTGGGAGTGTGGCTTTCACTGCTCTGCCTTTGTTGACTCAAAACAAAACTCTGCTTCCCTTTTTCACAGCCACAAAGATGCCAGATTTTAATTTCTGGCGGTGCATAGCGTGGGCAGAGGGGGAGGGGGGCCTTTTGGGGTGTTTGGTGATATTTTAGCTTTGAACAACCTCCTGCCTGCTTAGCAAGCTTCTAGGTTCGCCAACAATACAGAAAAACCGCCTAAGTTACAAAAACAAGTTAATACGTAAAAATATGACTTCAGCAAAGAAGTTAAGCTGCATGGGTGAATATGCTGTAATTTGCTGCATGCTTCCATCGAGCAGGGATCCAAAGTAATAAAATATTCCTGTAACGCTAGAACCAGGAGGCCCAGCCCTAATAAGATGTTCGGGTTCCAGTATTAGCTTTGCCACCCTACATCCTGACTCACCACTGAAACGAGTTCTCTGTTGCTACCCTTTCTAGCACGTCCCTGTGTTTCCTTTCTTCCAGTTTCATTCTAAGGTCAGAATTGAAACAAGTCATGAAGTTATCGTGGAGATGTCTGTAACACTGTCATGCAGAAATGACATCTTTTGTCAATTTCCTCAACCATGAAATGCAAACCCACATGCACCCAAATCATTGCCACAGAAACACGGTGGCTGGCTGCAGATTTGGTTTTATGGATGTGGAGGAGGCTTGGTGAAGTTACGGACTGCCTCAAAATGCCACGTTCCTGCTTTTCATTTGAGGCTGACAGACACAGCTCATACACACCATTACAGCTTTGAGGAGGCTGCTGAAGGTAACAGTCGCTTTACAAATGAATTAATTGGAAACACTTACCTTCCCCACTAGCTTGCCTTTCCTGTTCATGCAAAGGTAGAAGTCTGTCTCCTTCCCTTTGATCCGGACTTGACTGCCAAAAGTGTCCGTTTCCACTAGAAGCTGGGCTTGTAAAGGAAGAAGAAAAAAAAAAGCATTTACCAACGTGGTCACATGAAGTCAGAGTGTGCCAAGCTGAGCAGCATATCGTCTCATTGCCTCCCCCTGAACCACACCACGCTGCTTGGATGCCCTACAAGGGAACAACTCAAAGAACCATCCATGCGCTGGGCTTCAGACTTGTTACAGGTGTAAGTCTGACACGTCTCCGCTGACTCCTGTGCAGATGCTCCAGATTTAATGCCCGTTTAGCACAGAACATGCACGCACACATGTGTGCTCCATATGTCCGTGCTATCCCATCAGGAATACAACCCTAGATGCTCTCCTGCACACTGCAGGAGGGTTCTCAGTAAGAAAGTGGATTTAATTCTCATGCGAGGTACAAGACTAGCACGACTAAAATCAATTTCCTTTCCCCACAGGCAGCAGCCCTCAAACGCTTCACAGAAGCGTCCCAGCCACACGCTCGCGGTGCAGACATCTCAGCGACCTCCTGAAGATCCCTGTGGCAGCTAGCAGGGTAGAAATTCAGCACTTCTTGTTCTGTATGATGAACACCCACGCTCAGAAGTCCTCAGAGCATCTAGATATGTTCCCAGGTCGTCTCTGATTTCTTTGTGGCAATCCACTTCTGCCAAGCCCTTGACTCATGCTCTAGCTAGGAGAAATATGGCCAATCTCATAATGCCTATTATTAAGGCTACAATGCTGCTTTGGAGCATTTCCAGCAGCCATGGCAGGGGCTAGATTTCTGCGGCATCTTTAGACAGTCCTGACACAATTTTATTTGCAGAATTGGGTCAAGCTGTCACCCAGACGCGTAGCATGCTATCATCATCACTGAAACCTATACACATTCAAATTCAGCATTTCATTCTGTCTCTGATCTAAACACAAATTCCAGTCATGCTCGAGGTTCAGATTCCAAGAATTTCCCTGGAGAGGCAGGAACATGCAGACTGGACATTTTGGTTCAGCTCCATCTCCGATATGCAGGGGAGAAAGTAGACATGGTAGAAACACAATGCAAGAATGTGTAAGTGTCAGCAAGTGCAAATCCACGGTCCTGCTCTGGAAATTCTCACGTTTGTAAGAACTGAGTCTTACCGTAGAAACACAGTTTTTGCCAAACTCTGGAGAATGTTTGATCTGTGCTGCAAAAAGTCACATTCTTTTTGGCATTCATATTTCAAACTTTAAAACCCTCTAAGAGCAAATATGTTCACTGTAAGGATTTACCATGGGGATAGAAATAGGAGTTTGTTTCATTTAAACACATTAATATTTTTCCCACTTGTAAAGTCAGCTTTTGGCTTCTGCAGCAGAGCAAATATCACAAACCTTTAACTCACAAGGGCCCTAAATGGAGTTTTCCCTTTGCAGCTCAGTCACATATGCAAGTTCAAGGTTTGCCAGTTACCAGCTGTTTACATTTATTTAGATATATTAAACCTTTATCACAGGGGATATCTAAAGAACAACTTCTTTCAGACAGCAAATGGGATAACACCTGATTTATACCAGTATACTACTTGCAAACACACATAAATATGGACATTTATCTCTAAATCTTTCAGAAATGGAACATATTTTGGGATGGACACCAGCTTGCCAGCAACAGCGGAGGGCTGCAGGCTTTGTGTCCCCACCTGCCAAGGAGGCACCAAACCAGGGATCACCTGCACGCTTAAGTGAGGAAGGGCCACACGAACCAGAAATGTTCCACCATAGTAAGGACATAAAGACAATCAAAGCCAGAATAACAGAGCATGTCACAGATCAAAGACAGGGCTACAGGGGAGGCCGAGCCAACTGGTATGTCCTTTGGAGAACGCCCACCACTACAAGCAGCTCAGGGGGGCTGCTCGAATGCGGTGCTGCACAAATGGATCAGGCAATAGCCATTTACCTGTAAAGAACTGACTGTGAAAGACTGACTCCTCACATGAGGAAGGACCTGAGCACTAAATGGTCAATCTGAGAGTGGGAGAACAGCAGCCTGATCGCAAGAGGCAGTTCCAGAGCCAGCACGAGAGATGCCAAAGACTGGCTCATGAAACACCATCAACACCCAGAGCTCCGAGGAGCTGCCTGCAGACCTACAGTGCCAAATCCACCCAGTGATGCAAGCGGGGCCACCAAAGGGCTGTCCAGCCAGGGCTTGACAGCTTGCACGCAGGCGAAAACAGGACGCTGCAAGTTTGCCTGTACCACCTGCCCCGCTCCTGCTAGCCCCTGCTCGGAAACACGTCTCAGCTGCAAGGCATCCCCTGTCCCCCTGAGCCTCAGCGCTGCTACTAAAACTACTAAGAATAACCCTGAATACCAGATATGGGTCTTGTCCAGCCAAAGGAGAAGCAAATGTTGAAAAACTCTCCATTCCTCTGCTTGGGCGGCTGTCCTGCCAGACGGTCAGCAACCCACACGCCTCCAGCGCCGGGTGCCCCCTGTGCAAGTCCGTGCTGCAATGAACAAACACGGGGCACACCGTCTGCTTCCCCCACCCCCTCGTGCTGCAGCCAGTATGAGTAATATCCAAGCTGATTTTAATTTGAAAAATATCACCTTAAAAAGATGCCGGTTCCCTGCTGTGAAAATTAAAACCATCTGGATGGAGTGATTTCAAATAATTAATCTAGGTCTCCTTTGACACCACTACTAATTAAAATATGATACCTTCCTCCCCCTTTTTAAATAAAGAATTTAAATAAAGTTTAAAGATCTAATAAAATAATGTTATAATTTAGAATGAAATGGGACTCACCTTTCCTGTGGGCTGCAGAGGTTATGCCAGCACCAAAATCCCTCCCGGATGAGTGCCACTGCATGGACCAAGCAGCAGTGGATGGGCAAACACCCAGTGCAGCACCACACCAGTAAAGGCACCCACATAACCCCCTGTTCCAACAAGGCTCATCGGCCCCTGCACCTGAAGTCTAGGAACAGGGAGCAGAGGGAAGGAGGCTCAGCAGAAGGAGGATCCTGGCTGCCAGAGCATGGGCTGAGGCAACTCATGGGTACTGCTTCTGGAGAACCTGAGTCTTAAGATACTGTAAATGTGTTCTTACTTTTAGGTATCCTTGTCCTCCTTTCCTGCAAGAGAGATGAGTCTGGGCTAGGGTTCACAACCCAGTTGGTTTCTAGTCTAAGGCACCCTTTAGATTCTCCTTTTAAAAACAGCCACCTAAATGAGGGAGGATTTACCTGTCTCTACCTAAATTCTCTCAACAGCCCAGATAACATCCATGAAAAACACATTTAGCTTCCAGACAGCTAAAATCAGCTGGGGTAAATCCCAGCCCTGTAAAAGCAAGGGAACTTTATGTGAGTTCTCGATGGAAATCAGCCACACCAGGCAGGGGCAGTGCCCCCACAGCAGCGTGCTGCTCACCCCACTGCACTCCTTACATTGAGCTCCATTTGCCCCTGGATACACTGGGAAGAGATTACAATCTTTATTTTCAAAAGCCCTGCACTCTAGCCTTCAGATCAGGTATTATTGTTTAAATTCTTTGACAACTAGATATTCTGACATATTTTCAAGGAAAAAAAAAAAAAAAGAGAGAGAGAGACAGAGAAAGAAAGGAAAAAAAAAAAAAAGATGTCTTTAGAGGGTAAGATCTTCTGCTACATGCTTTTGCCTTATTGGCCCATTTAACCTAAACCTTCCTGAAAACTCCCACTGGAAGAGACTGGAATTCCTCAAATGTCTAGGTGAAAAGGATTACATATATATGTTGAAAAGCTATCTTCCAGCTAAAAAAACACCAAGTCAGGGAGATATGTGAAGGTGGCAGAAAATATGCCGAATTATCTTTCAAATATTTTCTGGGAGTGCAAGGATGGGAGCCAGAAAAGCCCAGGGAAAGAGAAGAGAAAGAGGGCACAGTAAGCACCAGGTTTATACGGTATCACAGAATCCTAAGTGCCAGCTAGTTTCAGGTGCAAAGGACAGTAAAAAGGAATATGCAAGTAAGGTGCAGCAGGACTGGATAATTATGAACATTTCTGAAGAAGCACTGACCATAATCAGAGTAAACCAATTTGCTTCTTCTCACTCTGGTTTTGCCTTCAAGGAAAGCTGGATGAGACAGAGCCCACAGGCTGGAGGAGTCGGTCTGCTGACAGTCAGCACAGGAGCCCATCTAACCAAGTCCTCCTGTGCTGTATTTGCACTTTCTGAACTAACAATTTTTAAAAGCTTCGAGGCCAGGCTACAATAGTCTACATCTTCAACAGGCCAGCTAAGGGAGGCTTTCTGGAGAAAAGGACCTCAGAGGGACCAAGATCCCAGGCTTTTGTCATTTTTTTTTTTTTGTCATTACAGTCTCACACAATTCCAAGTTGGGAAACTATTCTCAGTATCTGAAACCATTTCCAGTTAATGAAAAGAAAGGATGTATAGATGAACTGATGCTGTGGCCACAGCTCCTGCAATGGAGAACAGCTTTTTACATAGTTCCCAGCACGTATCACATCTAACTCATCCCCTGAGAGTTTCGGAGAAAAAGATTTATTCTCTTGTAGGACCTTCCAGTGAGAAGCCCAGGCTGGCCAAGAGCAAACTCTTCTGCACATCCATGCAGTTTAAACTAGTTTGAACACTGCCTACCCCACCAAAAACCATGAATCCTTTTGATTTTATGTATGACCACAACATCAGAGAGAAAGATCCTGTCTCCACTTCACATTCATGACATAACGAAGAATAATGCCAAAATTACATAAAGTCTGTAGAGTCTAACAAAGCCTGTAGACTAAGGAGAAGTGAGGGAATCTATGCTGCATCCATTATTTTTATTTGCTCACTTTTATATTCCTCCAAATTGCATCATTTTAAATAGTTACAGCCCATACAAACCAATCCCCTTCTCCATTGCTCAGGTGCAAATCAGGTGTAACTACTGAAATCGGTGAGGCTGGTGGTCGGGAGGGCAGAGCTCTGCCCCACCTCGCAGTATCACAAGCTCATCCTGTCTGTCCTGGGGAGAACACAGGCTACGAA